ATACACAACAAAAGGTTCTCTCAATATACATATAATCCTTCGACGATTCTCCGGTTTCCGGTCGTCTTCTCCGGCAATAAGTCCTCGTCATTCTCGTTCGTCGGTGCTTTGTTCTACCGCTCTAGACCTAGCACGCTGCGGTTTTATCCTGGGAGGAGATTGCCCACGTTTTGCCAGTACGGGAGGCGGGCAATACTACCTTAAGGAAAGCTCCGGCGACTCCACTTTCCTTACCTACGTTTCCAGAAACATCTCCGACGCAGTTGCTGTTTGTGTTCCTCCTTCTGCGCGTTCGTGCCCGTGACCCTGTCCGTTCGTGTTCGAGCTTCCATAGACTCCCATTTGTCTCTTTTATCTTTTTCCTCAGTTGTAAAATCCGAACAGATTATAAGTTCGGATTAATTATTTTTGTTTATTCCCGCTGTAATATTCAACACAATCGAGTTATATGAGCCATAGACCATTTTCATATGTACAATTGGCTAAAGACAAATGTGCCATCAGGAATGAACATCTAGACGGACACCATCTTTAACAAAAAAGGTGAGCTAAAACTGACTTTGATACTGTGATATAATTTAAGATTGGGCAGAGATTACTCGATTGGGTCATAAGTGATTCGTGTTCAACCACATTAAAAGATTGGCTCTAATTGATCATTTAGTTCAAGTCAAGAGCTTATATAACGATTTGTTTCTTCTTAAGTACAGTTCTGATATGGGATACTTTTTAACAAACATTGACAATAAAAAGAAGCGAGACTCTTCAAATTAAATATGGAATATCTACCTCAATTTAGAGCATGTTTGGGGGGGATTTATAAGATGCGTTTTGAAATAAAGAAGAAATATTATGAGTTCTCAAATTTGAAATAATGGTGTTTTAAAAAATTTAAAATCACAATTTTTAGTGATAAGAGTGACATAAAAAAGAGGAATGAATGGCACGAGGTGAGCGATGATGGTGATAACCCATGGTGAGTGTAATCGAAGGTTAATGGAGATAAAAACAACAAAAATAACAACCCAATTGAATCATACAAGAAAATGGTGTGTCGACGATGTGTACGCACCCCTTATCCTACTCGAAAGTAGGAAGGTTATTTTCAGTATACCTCGGGCACAATAAATGGAGCTATCAAACCATCATATTTATATTTCTCAAATTCAAAAGATCTCAATTGGGAAGCCTGCCTTCCCCACCCCTAGGACTGTCAACGGATAGCTGAAAATTTGATTACCGTCCGCATCCGTATCTGTTTAAAGAGGAAATATTCGTATCCGTTTTAAACTGATATTATCCATATCCAATTAAGGATATCCGATTACTAAATAGATACGGATTTGGTAATTGTATATCCAATCCGTTTAAAATCCAATCCGAATATACATCCGTTGAAATAACCGTCTATTCGAATATCCGACCCATTATATATAGTTTTTCCTAATTTTTATGTTTATATTTTGTTTCTCTATTGATATTTCAAAATATAAGATATGTTTATATACAAAATAAATGTGTGAACACATAAAAATATATATAGACATATAAAAATATGTGTATATGTGTGATGTGTATATCTTTTTATCATATAAAATAATCGTAGAATATCATAAATCATGAAAACAAAGAAAATAATTATCCCATAACAAATTATAGTTGATTTTATAATAGTTTGATTATAATCTAAAATAAAGGATACGGATACACATATATTATAGTATTAAAGTATAGTTTCATTTGATTTTAAAAATTGAAAACGGAAACGAATATATTATATTCGATATCCGACTAATGCAGATACAATTTTGATTTTCAGTATCCGTCAAGATTCGTATCCGAATTCGATATCCGACAAAAATAAACGGATACGAATTTGGTAATGATACATCCGATCCGATTAATATCCGTTTACACCCTTACCCACCCCACCCTCTATCCCTTCGCTTATTTTTTCATTAACCAATTCCCCCACTTGCTCTTGAGCTCACCCCTTCTTTTTGTTTAATTTTTTACTTCTTTATTTAGCCTATTATGTATTCTTGTATGAATTTGTTATTTGTTTATTTTTAAAAAATTACTTCCTCCGTCCCAATTTATAGTGCATGTTCAATATTCACAGGGTCTATAACACCCTAATCCGTCCAGGTCTGCCGCCCTTTCGGACTAAAGTATAAATTTGGTATTCGTAGACATTCAAAAATATTTCAAACATTTAAAACTTTATTTCATAATAAGTCATTATATTCAAAATAATAACAGAGTAATTTAATGTTGCGGAAGCTCAACAAAACATAATACAAACATAATTAATTTATGTCTTTTCAAACAGTAATCTAAATCTAAAACACATATCCACCCGACCATCTCATCTCATCTTCCTCGAGGAGATAATTGCTTCATTTTTTTGTTTACCTGCGTGCAGCAAATAAAACATATTACACGCTCAGCGTTTAAGTTGAGTAAGCATATCTAATGCGTCGAACATCCGTATAAACTGAATCTAAATTCATAATCAAATCATTTGATATCATGCACATAATGTTTAGTTCAGATACTCAATAATCATTAGTCAATATTTATCATTCATTATTTTATTTCCACATTCAACGTTCATTAGTTATTCATAATATTCACAATATTCAATTCAGTAATCATGATTCATTCATATTCAGTATTCAACCTTTGACAATATCTTTAAACTAGTATTAGTCTAAGGCCAATCTCTTTAATGTTTGTCAACTCTTAAACGAATTCTAGTTTAAACAATTAAACTATATTCCAGTATAAAGTACTCCTAAATAATCCTTAAGCTAGGCCTAGTTTAAGATAAAAGGATTCTGAAAATCTTAAACTTACCTTCACTTAAGGCCAACCAAAAACCGACAGCGTAGTGTTCACTGTTGGGTGGGTGGTACCCCCAAACGAGTAGGTACTCAAGTTTGGTTCTTGGATCCCGTACGTACGTTTTAACCCTAGCCACCGGGGTTCATACCCGCAAGGCCTAACTTAAATGAGTATATCTTAGAGGTCTTCTATATACCTTTCAAATCAACATTAATATGGGTATATCTTAGAGGTCTTCTAGATACCCTTAACAATACATATTATTTTCACAATTATCAATATATTCATTATGATTCAATCATTCACAATTATCATTTTTAATTAGAATATTCATCAAGATTTAATCATCATAATCATCAATCAATAATCATTACCATAATCATCGATCAACATAATATTCAATAACAATTAGCAGCCTAGCTTCGGGTGTTAACACCCTAACTTACCGTCATGCATCACATAACATTTTTATTTGTTAAAGACATCACTTTTATTGTGAAAAATCATTTTTATAATGATGATAATCAATTGGTATCAAAAATAAGATTTTAGAGCTCAAAAATAGCATTTTCGGAACAAATTTTCGGAATATTTTTCCGTTTCCGGCGGTACCCGGTACGATACCTCGGTACCGTGTCACGGTACCTTGGTACCGACCGCCACAAATTAGCCACCGTGAGGAAGGTGGTCGACGGTAGGCTGCTACCGTGGGTACGGTAGGTGGCTACCCTTGCCGACAGTACCCTGTTACCGTGCCGGCGGTAACATGATCCCGTTCTGTGCGTTAACTTTAAACAGTGTCATCTTCAACCTTGGGCCAAGTTTCAGAAATTCCATTTTTAGTCACCAAGCTTCAATTAAACTATATAGAAATGTTTTCCAATGTTCATAGATCATTTCGGTAACATTACTTCGTAGTTTTAACAACAATTTCAAGGTTTATGATTCTTGGTTCTTTCAACATGTCAAACACAAAGCTCAACCAAACGACCGTTTATGAACGTAGAAACGATCTATATGAACATTCTAGTCACTAGATATATCTTCAGGCTTACCTCGAAGCCAAACGAAGGTTTTGGAAATTTTCTAGCGAAACATCCAGCAACGATTTCTCCCAACTCCGGCGACTTCACACCATTTTGTCAGCACCACTACATTCCTCACACTCTCAAGAACAAAATGATACTAAACTTTAAAATTATTTTTGATCTCATCTGATCTGAATCCAAAAAGAATAATAATAAATACTTCTCGTCCAGAAATATTCTCTCTGAACTCTGAAGTCTCTCATGGTCCAAAAAGAAATTGGAAGCCCATAAATTAGAATTAGTGGGCTGTCCGTAAACATCCCAACTTCTCCCTGAAGATTTAACATGTATCCCCATGCAGTTCTTTTAATGGGCTTACTCGTGTTATTTGGGACCAATTTCAGATGTAAATTCATTTCCAAATAAACAGCAATAAAAGGCATGCAAACACAAAATATACTCCCTATCATGGAACAAAATTCTTTAGAGCATTAATAATGACAAGGAAATGAAATGTCGCGTCTCTACACGTTAACATGACACTTTTCAACCAATCATAATCCATAAACGATTCAGTCAACATGTAATAAATGAGTAGAGTGATATGTCATATATGCAGTGACGAAGTCATTAATTTTATAACCTTTTACACTCTTTGACGTATTTTAGATATTAAAAATTATTTTACTTATTTTTTCAAAATAAAATCCTTTCACTTCCTTCATAAAATCTTGTACTTTATGAAAAACCCTAAAACAAAATACCTGAGCAATTGAGTAACGCATGGATTACTAAGCATGACAAATTATACCTCGTGAGGCATTTTATGAACTTGGAGGACGTGGCAGCGTGGCAATGGAAAATCCACGTCACACTCTTAGGACATCAAGCGTGCCACGCTTGGTACGCCGTCACCTTGTTTCTTCATTTGGCTTGCGAAGCTTCTCCATTTCTTCACGCTAAGCTATAAGAATAGTTTATTTAATTTTCTCGAAAGGCATATCACACTGAATAAAGTTTGATATTATGAATACCACGTGTAAATAGGCAAACTAATTCTGGTATTCTTGTAAAAATAACATTTAATCATCCATTTCTTAGTTTAGCTAGTATAGCCATTGGAGATTCTGTAAGAGTAGTTTATTTAATTAATTATAAAAAGATAAAAAAAACACATAATAGTTGTAATGGAGAATAAAAAAAGAAAAGACCAAAATATGAAAGATGGAATTAAAGATGCATGGAAATATCTGCATGCCAATAAAGTCAACCGGCCGAAAATCGAGTCTCTTTATTCAATACTACTCCGTACTCCGTACAGTAAATACGCCGATCACTGCGCCGGCGAAGAAAATAGCGTCGGAATACTCTGTTCATGCCGGAAAAAGTTGTTGGGGTCGATCTTCGTCTTCACCTGCACCAATCTGTTGAAGTTGTTCTTGAAATACTTGTTCCCCCAAGCGCTCGCTTCCATGAGCGTGTCGTTCCCGCCGTTCCTGTTCGCGCCCAGATCGAGATCCCTGTAGTTCACGTACGCCTCCCTCGGAAAACTCGAAACGAACGGCTCCATGTACTCGTAAAGCTTCCTGATCCAGTCGATGTGCCTCCCCGCCGCCGCGTCGTCGTCGTCTTTCCAGCTGGTCAGGTACTGGATCTTGAAAACGACGCCGTGCCTGTGCGGGAACGGGATTTCGGATTCCGGGATCTCCGCCATCCTCCCGCCGTACGGGTTGAGTATCATCGTCGGCGCGTCTTCTTGCAGGAGGCGTTTCCACAGCCCTTTCAGCCCTGTTTCCGGGATGGGGGCTTTCACGAAGTCGGATTTGGCCTTGAAGTAGTTCCTGAACAGGGGTTTTCCGGCCAGGAGAGTCTCCGGCGGGGTGGTGGTCGGGTACCCGGCGATGTACAGGACGGATTGGATCCAGCTCATTTCGATGCAGTCGGTTTTTGTCAGCCCCAGCTCCGGGAAGCTCTGTTTCATCACTTTCAGAAGCCTGTCGGAGGTTCCGAGAAACAGGGCGTTGTAGGCGGTCTGGATAGTCCTGTTTCCGGGGACGGCGGCGCTCGCCGCCGTGATGATCACTCTGATGAAGAGATTCTCGTCGAGCTTGCCCGCCACGTTCTGCCACTTGTAGAGCACTCTCGTCGCCCCCTGTTCCAGAGTCTTCGGCACCGTGAAAACCGTGACGGTTGCCGGAACCGGAACCAACCTCAGCTTCCAAGACAGTATGATCCCGAAGCTGCCGCCGCCGCCGCCCCTTATCGCCCAGAACACGTCCTCTCCCATGGCTTCCCTGTCAAGAATCCTTCCGCTGGCGTCCACCATCTTCGCATCCAACACGTTGTCCGCCCCGAGGCCGTACTTCCTCATCATCGACCCGTACGCGCCGCCGGTGATGTGCCCGCCGATGCCCAAACTAGAACAGAGCCCCGCCGGAAAACCAAGAACCTTACTTTTCTGCGAAATCCGGTAATACAGTTCTCCGACAGTCGCCCCGGCCTGAACCCAAGCCGTGTTATCCTCCACATCCACGTCAACCCCCCGAAACTTGGACATGTCAACAATAGCAAAAGGCGCTCCCATCCGAGAAATGTACGACAGGCCCTCGTAGTCATGCCCGCCGCTGCGGACTCTGAGCTGGAGCCCGAGCTGCTTCGCGCACAGAACAGCGGCGGGGAGTTGGGACTCGGAGAGGGGAGTGAAAATGAGCTGCGGCTTGGATACTCCGGGCTCGACGCACCGGAGATTCTGGGCGGTGGAATTGAGGACGGCGGCGAAGGAGGCGTTTCTCGGGGTGAAGAAAGCTTGAGGGGAGAGAAGAGACGAGTTGAACCTGTTGCAGATGCATCGGTAAAACTTGTCGGAGAAAGATGAGGCTGCCGGTGGTGGAGATGATGGAAGAGGTTGGAGGGCGGTGGAAGTTGAGAGGAGGAGAGTGAACAGTGGGAGAAGATGAAGAACAGAGCTGACTAATAAGGTTGCCATAATTTTGGACTAAACATACGTATATGGTGGTCGTGTGTTTTTTGTTTTGAGGTGAGCTGAGGTATGGGAGTAATATATATAAAAAAGGAATTTAAATATAACTAAAATATAATGATTCTCAATATAGGATCCAATCAAATATGTGTGTACATTACGTTAATAACGAAGTGACGGGAATTAAGCTTGCATGCATCCATCCGAAGGGTCTCCGGTGACTCCTCGGTAGGTCTGTTCAATGTTTTATAAGTTCGGATTATTAATTTTTATTCCCGCTATTATTTGTAACACTTAATGAAATCTAGTGGGAGGAATAATGTGCAGAGATAGTGGACATTTATTGAATAATGACTATTGGTCCTACATTGAAAAACAAAAACATATTGTCCTATATTGAGAAAGTTATTACTACCTCCGTCCCATTGTCTTTGTCCAGTTTTGACTTTTGGAACTGTTCATCTAAGCACTTTGACTCATCAAATTCTCTCAATGTGTAAGTCTAAAAATAGTCATGTGTGATCTTGTTTGATTTGTCTTAACATATAGATTATTAATATATAATTTTTATAATTTTTTAATATACAAATTATAAAATAAAATGGATTAAAGAAGTGCATTGGATGGTGTGCCAAAAGGTAAGTGGACTAAAAGAGTGGGAGGGAGGGAGTATATTTTAGTCAATTTCAAGTTCTCACTCTATTCTCTATCTCACGCCATGCATATGTCATACACTCGTATACTAGCTCCATGTTTGTCAACCCTATTCACTAATTCCGTTCACTTATTCCATAATGTATATTGGATGCTTCAACTCCGAAAAATTTATTATTATTATTAAAAAAGGAATTTACTTAAATAACACTAAAACATAATGACTTTTTCTAAATAGCACTTCATGTGTTTTTTCCCAATGTAGCACTTTTAGTCATTATGCATTAGTCATTATTCAAGTAAATATTCGTCATCATAGGATATTGTGGACATTATTAAGTGCTATTTAAGGAATAAAACAGTTTAAGTGCTATTTAGAAAAATCAATTAAGTTTTAGTGTTATTTAGTGCAAATATTTCTTATTAAAAAAACTTGGACCTATTTGAATATTGTTTGATTGTATGATGAAAGAAAGAGGGTTCCTAGCTCACATGTACTTACATGAAAAGTGGTGAAAATGCATGTATACTAATGGAAAAATTAAGAGAAAGACAAACCATGCAATGCTAATGTGACATAATCCAAGGACTATTCATATATTTTATGAAGTTGAATGATTAACTCTGAGTGATGCAATTTTCTTGAAGAACCAATGATGCAATTTAGCCAATCTATTTTATAATTTTTTTTTTAAAAAATATTATTTTACCTCATTTATATAGCATATACATATTTTATTTAAGTATGTGCAAAAAGTTAAAAATAGTTGACTGTAAAAAGTCAAAATTAAACAAATACTCATCAATAACAAAAGTACTACTTCTCAAATATAATGTCTATTGAAAATTATACTCAAGGTATTACTCCCTCTCTTCTTTAAAATAATTCCAATTTTGACCAAGTGTTAAAATAAAGAATGTTAAATTGTAGTTGACTTCCAATTTTGCTCTTGATGTGATGGATAAAAATAAAATGTGATAGATAGATTGTTAGAAAAAAAATATGATGTGATGGTAGGATAAAAAAAGCATGGGTAAAAGTGTTTTTTAATAAAAAGTAGAAGTCTTTTGATGAAGGAAAAAAATGAAAGCTAAAGTGTGTTTTGTAGAATGGATGGAATATCATTGATGAATCGAAGTTTCTTAATTTTAAAAAATATTATAAAAATAAAATGTATCAAAATTACATACCAAAAGAAATGTAGTACAATTAAGTGTACATGATAATGTGAGGTATTTATTCCTTACCAAAGGTTACAAATTTTACTCAACAAGATTTAGAAATAAAGGTTTATACTCTAATACACGTGTCAAGAAATTAAATCAACAAAAAGCTCAAACTTGTGATTGTTGTACTGGAAATGATATTTTTATTCTAAGACGCTCTCTTAGAAAAAAAGAATGGTATGAACTTAACTCCATAAATGTGAGCATTATATTGTAGGACTAGGGAGTGTCATGCATAAAAATGTAAACACACAATGAATTGAACTCTTTCACATTAAAATAGAATAAAAAAAATCATATCACTTAAGATTCTCTTTTTTTTTTCATTTGTGAGATGGGTGGGGACTATGGAGGGACCCTTTCAAATGAACCCTTTGAAGTCTACGCTTCAACACTAATTTGGTTTGGGTTTAATGCCGACTTAACATTTTTCTCTCATTCAAGCTCACAAACCTTGACTTTACATCATTGACTTACGCAGTTAAATTTTTTTTAATCTTTTTCCTTAATTGTCGGATACCCCAACTAACCCATATGTTCCACCGACTCAGCAACTGTCAAACTCGTGAAATAAAAAATAAAATTTAAACTAAATAGTACTAAAAAAATATACAAATTGGTTACTAAAACATAATCTCTCTGTACCCAATTTGATTACAAGCGAGTTACCGAGTAAAATTTCCTACTTTTTAAAATCATTTTATCTACAAATTGGTATATCAATAAGATATAAAAATTACATATTAAAAAACTACGTCAAAAATTCTACAAAACAAGAGGTGACAATGATATTTTATTTTATCAAATACTTTATGAAATCGCGTAAACAAACAAAAGTTATCGAGAGGAGAAAGAAAGAAATTGTAATCTATTTAGGGACGGAGGGAGTATGTCATTTTCTATTATAATACTCTCTTCGTCCACAAATAAACTTTATGTTCACTATTCACAAGGTCAAACTTTGTTCACTTTGTTCAATTTTCATCACCCATTTGATAAAATAATATAATCATGTCACTTCTAATTTTGTAGATGTTTTGATATATTTTTTTAATATGTAATTTTTATTTATAAATTTTACACCATTTTTTCATATAAAATGATTTGAAAATAACTTCAATCAAACATCGTAACACGCAACGGGAAGTTTGTTTGTGGACGGAGGGAGTACTTTAATGATTTATTCCATAAATAGTACTTGAATAATGTCTAATAGCGGAAAGAATATCCACTAATAGTGGACATCTAGTTTGAACAATGTTTAGTAATGGTGAACATTTACTTAAACAATGACATCAGACATTGAACAATGATGCTACATTAAGAAATAAAAATATATGATACTCCGTACTACATTGGAGAAAAACATTATGTTTTAGTACTATTTAAGTAAATTTCCTTTTCTTAAACATGGTCACTATCACTATGTTTGGCTCAAGGATTTTGGAAGGAAAAGAAAAGAAAATGGTTTTCTCTCATTTTCCTCACCAAAATGGAAGGAATTTGATTTTCCCTCTACTTGGTACATTTTGTCTCCTCATTTTCTTTTCTTTCCACTTTTCCTTTCTTTTCCCCTCTAACCAAACAAGAAAAATGGTTTTCCACTTCATTTTTTTTCGTTTCCTTTCAAATTCCTTGAACCAAACATAATGTATATATTCCCTTGATTCCATATTAACTCGCTATAGTAAGATCATTTAAGACTTTACTGATGCAATGAATGTAGACACAAATTATGTCGACATTCAATCGTTTTTTAACGTATCAAGAAAGTGTATATAATGGACCGTCAATATGGAAGGGAGGTAATATTTAACTACAGTCACAATCACAATACTCAACCAAAACAAGAGACTATGAATCATCAAAACCTCAAATGAGACAATAGAAATGATAAATACCTCTAAACAGAATGAATGATCACTTAAATGAAAACAAGCACTGCAATGCTACAAGAGTGCCACCAGATCAGTGCTGGACATGTATATATTGGAGTAAGAAGATTGTCCCATGACAAAGCCCCTTCTGCCCTTGAATTAAATTCTCAAGGACAGTGAAAGAAGCAGAAAGCATAAACTGTTTTACAAGAGGCCAACAGAAATAACATGAAATAACATTGATGGATCATAGAGCTATGGACCATCTGGCTGGAGAAAAGGATTGGCGATCTCATCTGTGCCATCTGTTGGTGCCACAAGCATGACTGCGGTCCCCCTACAAACCTGTGTCATCAAAGAACACTAATTATACACACAAACACACACGCGCGCGCACACACACTCTCTCTCTCTCTCTCACACACACACATAATTATATATACTCCGTATAATATAACGTGCGTATCCATGGGTATTAATGGAAAGTGATAGAATCTTAGAATAAATAAAGAGTGAGTGAGAGAGAGAGAGAGAGCACGGCATACAATTAATCCAAGACGCCGTGTCTGGTCAGTTGTCTTCAGAGGATCGTCAGAATCTGCACCACAAAGTTGTTTTTAAGTAGTTAAATGGATATTGTCAAGTACTCAAATATCAATGTCTAGATAAACAATCATTGGAAAGTACATTACATATCACAAATATTCAACTTCGCAAAAGCGCAGAGTAAATGAGAAGAAAAAATTTCCATTCCAATTCAGTTTATTTAGAAAGTTTTGAGCCGGATATCTGCTGCGGATACCAAACAAAGTATGTCTACTGGGGATACCAAATAGGTTTTCCCCTTCCGAGGATACAATTCCCACATAACATTTCTTCTTAGAAGGCAAATACCTATTTGAGTAACATTATGGTGAGGATGACCATAAAGCTTAGAGCCTGTTGTACATTGATTTTTTGTTTCCAATTGAAAGATGTTTCCACACTTGTACTTTAATTTTGTGAGAGATGCCTAAAACACTTCTTTTCATTCCTTTTCTTTTTCCAATATTGAATGAGCAATGGAATACATTTGATCATTTTTCTAACAAAGTGAGCACAGCCTCAATTTTCTCGAAAGGCATATCACACTTGGCAATGTAAAAGTATTTCAATTAAGGTCATCAAAAACTATATCTGATAGAAAATACCCAGATTTTATAGAACGAAAATCCGGAATGAAGTCGATACTACACAAGTGTTGGGAAGAAGAACTAAGAATGGTTGAAATGATTAAAAAGGTATGCAAATGATCATTATTAACAGAACTCCATCGCCCCTTCTAGCCAAAACGGTTGTTACCTCTAAGATATTCAATGGCTTCATCCAAGACAAGGTTCAGCAATTGGTCATAGCCTTTTAGTGTTCCTACAACTGTGAATGAAAGAAGGAAAAAAAAATAGAAACTAGTCAGAAGAAAAGTTCACTATATACTGTGACATAGAGTGGGATAACATTAAAAAAACATAATCCTAGTGCTTACACACATATGCACCTCACATGGTTCCCTCGTATGTTTTCTCTTTCAAAGTCATCTTTATATCTCTAGTGTTATCATACCATCACAAATCCTAGTATATCTAAGGCCTCTTCTTGAGAGGAAGAAAACTTAGAAAAAGAAAAGAAATTAATAGCTCTGACCTTGTCTTCCACCAGTGAGCTTAACTTGCACACCCTTGTCAACGAACTTTGCCAAGTCTAAAACCGTTTCTTTTCTGCCTGACTAAAATGCATCACCAAACAACAGGACTTCGTGTAAGGCCACAACAACACATTCAATTGATCCCTTTCACAAAATCTTCTTATTTTTATGTTTCTGATCCCAACTTACAGCTCATGAACAGCACAATACTAAACCATACAGCATTCATATACAAAGCTTAAGCATTTATTCTCATTGTCTATTACACAAAAGCCTCTTTACTTCCAAGTAGAGATAAGATTGTTTGTTTGTCTATTCCAAGAACCATATAGGAATACCCACACGCGCTCCCCAAACACTAATTTTTTTATGGGATTTTACTGGGTTTCTTTGTTTGTTTGTCTATTCCAAGAAGCTTAAAGGAAAACACACAAAAAATGCCTAAAATCAGTAATTTCTAGCTGTTCTTGTAAAGGATATAAGAGCTATACCATTATGATCCTTATTCGATCACCTCAGCCTGCTCTCTATACGCGGATAGTTGCAATGCTCGACAAAACCCTAAAAAAACAATTTCCAGAGATTAAATGAAAAGTCGGATACTTAGAAACCCTAGCATGAATGAATTTTTACGAGCTCTGACAATAATTTATTGGAGAAATAAAAGACAAAGCAATCGAAGATGTGGCAAATGAAGACGGCGTTTAGGAATTACCTGCGGCGAAGCTTTGAGCCCTAACTCCCCTTTCTCTCTCTCTCTCTCTCTCTCTCTCTCTCTCTCTCTCTCTCTCTCTCTCTCTCTCTCTCTTTTCTCTGATTCTTTTCCAGCGTTTGTCTTTCTTGGTCTTGCAGAGTTTAGACCATCGACGGTGAAGGCGAAAGCAGGTATGGTGTGAGACGACGGCCCATTTAGGTTGGGCTTAATGTTATGATTCTAAGCCACATCTAGACCTAATTGCAGCCCAATTTCCATTACTTAGGTCCAAGACTTTGGTCCGGCCTGCTCCAGTCCTACTCAGATCAGTCTGAGTACCCAAAAGTCAATTAAATTTGGAAGATGAATTGAAGTTTTTTGGGAGATGGTTTGGGTCGGGTGAGACCGTGAGAGTGTACGGTTTATAAGGGGGTTAAGGGTATGAATTATCAATTTTACAAACGCAATATTATAAACACCTAAAAAAGGTTGTGGCGCCGCAGTGGCAACCAGAGCCAGTGGTTCTAGGAACATTCTGCGGAACATATATTGATAATATTATTTTACTGAAAAATTATTAAAGTACAAAATAAAGAAAGAAGACATAATTTCCTGTTGGGAAAAATAATTGCAAAAATTATGTGAAAATAGAGAGTATTTTTTGAGAATATTACCCAAGTGAATCCATTCCGGTCACAAGATTAAAATTGGAATTTTTTTTTAGAAGTTTTGGATTCTCGTTCCTAACTCTACACTAAGTTCTTGATTTTTTCACCATTACCTATCTTTCATTTTTTGAAAGTATGAATGTTGCCTTACTATTTTAGTATTTTTGTTTAATTAATAACAACTTTTAATACTCCTAATAAATAACAACAGAAATAATAAAAAAAGTGAATGAGTATCTGCACATTGCTCACACATCCTCCCTCCTTCAAAATTAGATGAAGAATTGAAAAAACACAAGCTACAATTTTTATACAAATTAAAAATATGTAACACTCTGTAAAATAGTATAAAATATTTATATTAATTGTAGTTGATCGGATCATTGATCCGAGCCAACCGACTTGAGCGAGTAACATTTAACCCACTCGTTTATTCTATTCGAAGTCTAATACTGTAGAAATTGATAAGAGGCTGTCGCCAACAAATACAGTTCTCATAGTTTTTTTAGTTATATTTCCTCAATTACAATGTAGTATATTTTCAAATTTTATCAATCTAATAGCGGACACCAAGCCAATGCATTTGCGTAAATTTCTCAATGTCATTATTTAATATGAAGTAGTTGTCCAAACATAGTCAAACTACGAAGCAAAAGGTTGTTCACCAAACAACCTCAATGTTTACTTTTAAAGTTCTTCAGAGTGCGGGATTTATTGTCTTTCAATGCTATTTGATGAACACAGATCCATTTAAAACGCTTACGACACTTTATTCACCAAATTGATGTTACTGTCGCCTTAATCCTCTTGTAAACCCTTCACTTTCGCCCAACCCAAACACACTCGGTGAGCATTCAATTACACCGTTCAAACCCACGACTCTTTTCACCACTAGTCCAATAAAGGATACTAATATGTAAAATTTACACTAAATAGGACTAAAACATAATGACTTTCCTAATCTAGGACTTAATTTTTTTTCCCTAAATAGGATTTAATAATGTCTTAGTTGGAGGAATAATGCTCAATAATAATAGACATTTACTTGAATAATGACTAATTAAAATCATTATATTTTAGTCATTATGTTTTAGTCCTACTAATATTGGATATCAACCCGGTCCGATCCTTATTTGGACATCTACTTACGGCCTAGCCCATTAGACGCAAGGGCATTTGGGTAAGTTAAAAATTAAAACGAGTGATTTGGGCATTTCCGGGGACTAGGGCTAATATAAGCCTCCCCTCTATATCTATCATTTAGGGTTTTCTTTCTATTTCTCTTGCGGCGTCGACAAAGGCGGAGATCCAGGAAGGTCCGGCGGCCGATCGAGATAGTGCTCTGCAACAATGCCGGAAAGACCGGGGAAACCCAGAAAGGAAGAGGTCGTGACCAGAGAGTACACCATCAATCTCCACAAACGCTTGCATGGATGGTAATCTCTACACTCAGTTTTTCTTATGAATCTCTCTCAGGATCATCTGTTTTCTATGCTTTGTTTGGGATTTTGTTTCTTCACAATCAGGGTTTTTAACTCGATATTTCTGCACCTGTACCTTTTTTATTCAGTCGATCCTTATTGCTGTTGGTTTTCACTCGGATTTATATGGTTTATGCTATGAATATACTATCATTCTCTGTATTCACTTGATGCTGTTTAAAATCTGGAGATGGTAGGAATTTGATGAAATTTGAAGTAATTTGGTAAATTTCAAATATATGATGTGAAGAACAATGGTAGGAATTTTGACATCTAAAATGCGTACTGTGTGAAGCTCATAATCAGCATGTTTTTATCTAACCAAAAGTTTTATGGGTTTTGAGTGAGATGATCCAATAGGTAAAAATCATTTCTTTATTCATTTTCAATTGTTCTTGCATAGAGAAACTCTGGCTTGGCTTTGCAGCCCTTAATTTTTGAGCTACTCCCTTAATTGTGAGGGTGTTCCCATCTCATTTACTAGTGATGTGTAATGGTGCAGCACATTCAAGAAGAAGGCTCCCAAGGCCATAAAGGAGATCAGGAAGTTTGCTCAAAAGGCTATGGGAACGACGGATGTTCGAGTCGATGTGAAGCTCAACAAATTCATTTGGAGCAAGGGCATCCGAAGTGTGCCGAGGAGGGTTCGGGTCCGCATCGCGAGGAAGAGGAACGACGATGAAGATGCCAAGGAAGAACTTTACTCGCTGGTCACTGTTACCGAGGTTCCCGAGGGACTCAAGGGCTTGGGCACTACCGTCATTGAGGGGGATGATTGAATCTTTGTTTCAATATATGATAAAGAATTCCAGTTTTGGATGTTGTCCTCTATCAGCTAGTCTAAGATATTTCATCTGCATTTTCAATTCCAAACACAGCCTATCCTGCTCTGCTGTTTTATCTCCTGAAGACAATTTTGTTATATTTATGGGTTTTAGCAAACTTTATCCTATGATCTGGCCTAATGATCTGTTTTTTTTGTTTGATTTCTCAATAATTCTCATAAAAGTGGTTGAAGTAAGCTAGAATTGTTTGAGCTCATTTCTAACTTTCTAGTACCGTGATGTTTATAGAGGGGTGGCTTGGGTTCAAAGCTGAATAGTGGTCCTTGACTATGGTTGTGATTCTTCTAATTGTGCAAGCGAAAAAAGTAAAAAATAAAAATAAAGAATTGGATCCTTATAAAATGTTGTGCCAAAAAATCTTGGCACAAATAGAATTTCTGTTATAGTTTAAATTTTATTTTAAAATTATTTTAGATTATATAATTTTTTTTTATTAAAGTTCATAAATACTCCCTAGTAAATTTGTGATACTCCCTCCGTCTTAAATTATAATGTTTTTTTACTATTTACAGGGTCAAACTTTATTTACTTTCTTTCTCTATTTTTGTTAGCAATTTGATAAAATAAAATATTATTGTCACTACTAGTTTTGTAGATCTTTTGATCTAGTTTTTTAATATGTAATTTTTATTTTTTAATTCTATACCATTTGTCATATAAAATGGTTTGAAAATAATTTCAGTCAAACAGCGTAAAGCGAAATAGAAGTTATAAAGCGAAATAGAAGTTATAAAATGGGAGGGAGGTAGTACTTTTTTCTGTGAATCCAGAAGCAGTTTTTGTTCGGCTTACTAGCTTTACAAGAACCCGGTAAAATTTCACCAAATGTGCATGCTGACCTTAGTCCAAAGGATATTTGACTTGTGAGTCAAACCTATTAAAATTTTACAGTATCATTACTGGAAATATGTTTGAAGCCCCGGGGCTTTAAACTTTCTCTCTCTGGCACGTCAGCTTTAACTTACATCAAAAATTCACTGGAAATGGGGCTTCAAACCTTTATTTTTTTACATTTTTAAATATACATCTTCTAAATTTAAATTAATTTATTATTTAATAATATTGAAACACGAATACAAAAAAAATACATTCATTAAAATAAAAAAAACGACAATATTAAAAAAGATATATTAATTAAAAAAACTAAGGTAAATTATATTTCGCCTTGATCTCTCTTTGTCTTTGCTCGTATATCATCCGTTTGAAACCCGACAACGTAGAAAGGTCAGTTTCCATGATTTTAAATAAAAAAATTAAATAAAAACATTACATTCATTAAATAAAAAAATTACATTCATGAAAAAATAAATAAAATACTTGAATAATAATTTTTTTAAAAAATGATAGATAGAGAGAAATTTGTATTTGTGTTGAATTTTTTTAAAAAATTAAATTTAATTTATATAGAAGAAAAGAAGAAAAAAGAGGGAGAAAAAGGAAAGAAGAAGGTGTGATAATGCCTTCAAACCGCATCAAAACTTTGACGCAAGTATTTTAACGCCATTTTAACAGGGGAGGAGGGCGGTGTTTAACGCCCCAGGCGTCAAAAGAACTTTAACGGGGTTGGGCGTGAAGCCCATTTCCACTGCTCTAACAGCAGTTATTCCAACTACTCAAACTGTGGCTATCAAACTTCGAAGTTTTAAAACAGATTCAATCATCAAACTCAAGTTTTCAACTCCAGGTAGAAATAACAATTAAGGCACCACGAGCAAGCCCAAAGCAAAATCAAAAGTTGCTAACGCTTTCTCCTCAGTGGAAATGTTAACCCAAACTTTGGCTAACGCTTCTTCCTCAGTATTGGTCCAAACTTTTAGAAGAGTCTGAGGCTTTGTTTGGTAATAGCGTTTTCGATTAGTGTTAGCGTTTTGGATAAAATTTTAATGGTGCAGATTAATTCTGAAAACGCTAACGCTAAAGGCTACCGTCAGATAGCTTTTTCAAAACGCTAACGCTAATCTCTAACGCTGATGCCAAACGGGGCCTGAGTCATGCTTGGTCCCACCCCCTCACCTTCACGTTTTCCTTTCTCTTTTGATTATTTTTTGGAGATTGTGTATCGGGCATTACCTCATCAATATCGTCTTCGATATTCAAAGGAACGTCGTGTGTGGGAACATATGCGGCGACGTGCCGGTGGTTGGGACGGTTGGGCACCACAAGTTCTTTAATTGCTACCACTAATTTTGTTTCCATTCTTGGAATTGATGCATTTGAAAGGAGCTCAGACATCGAGCGCAAGCCACAAATGAAGAAATAGGAGAATCGAAGGAAGACACCGGTGGTCGGAATGAATCCATGATACTCAAAAATTTGAAAAAAAATATTCAACAAAAACAATGCTAGAATTTAAATAAATAGATTGAAAGTGTGTGAAAAAGATGGGAGAAGTGTTATGTTTAAATAGTAAAAAAAAATTTAATTTAATTATTTAAATTTCACAACGGTATATTTTAAAAAATCTAACCATTAAAGGCCGAACGCGAAAAATCTAACCCTTCCCGCTGCGCATCGAATAGCCTTACTAAAATAGCAAAGCATTTTTTTCATCTGCAAACACTACAATATGATTAAGCAGTAAATCATACAGAGTACTTAGATTTGCAAAACTATTCACTTCTAATATATTATTTAAACAAAGCATTATCCCAAAAAAACAAAAATTCATTTTTATGAAAACACGCCCACTAAAATATTTAGAAATTCAAGCCATACAAATATGACCAAAATTGGAACGTAACACATACGAGTATATTAGAACAAATGAAACTAGAATTGCAAAGATTCAAGTAATATTAAACCATATGAATGCAATGGCCAATCACTTCATGAAATCTAAGTCCTTATTTGCAGGCATACAAAGTTAAAATAAAACTATAATTTCCAATTAATCATTGTTGAATTTTTAAAAATATATACAACAAGCTGTGTCCCCCCCCCCCCCCNTTAAGTTAACTCAAATAAATCTTAAGTCTTAACTCTTAAAGTCACAAACTCCCCCAATGAAAGATGATGACAAGGCAAAAAAATGAAACACTGACCCAAAAATGTTCAGATGTCCACTGTGGCTGTGGCTCTCTGCTCTACCTGGAGGCTCCCGCAGCCGCATCTGTCTCATGCTCTCTTCGCTCTTCCCGGGAAAATTCCTCAATCAATTGACGCTGCCTATGCGTCAAGTTCCTGCACCATAGAGTATATCGTAATAACTCGCCATGAGCGAAAACTCACACTCGAAATTGCAGTGTGAAGAATAAAAAAATAAGACAAATTCTTCTGTGGTCCTAAGGTCCATGCTCATCTTATAGACCTTAGTGCATTGAAATCGTAAAAGAATTGGGTCTTTGGCAAAAAAAGAAAAGATCTACTTGCCGGTTTATAGAGAGTATGAGAAGGTCCACATTTCATGAGTGGACCTTAGGACCGGGGAAGAACAACTCCCAAAATAAAAAGAAAGTCGGTAACAGTAAAGAACATTTACGTTGGAATGTTGACGATGAAGTGGACATACTGATCTCCTACTGAATAGGAATTTCTTGCTCTAATCCCTGCTCAAACAACCCCCAATTGGCAATATTAGCTCTAAACACACAATCATAAGTTAAGATAATAGTGCACCTATACAAAACAAGTGAATACTTGGTGAAATCCAGTGTTATGAACTGGTGCTAGGTATTGCAACGAGGGACTGTACTAGAGTGCAATAAACACCAAAATACCTTTCTGTTTAAGGACAACTTTTTGGCCAGGTTGGGTGCCAGGGCGTACCTGCAATACAGGGGCTCATTTATGAAACAACCCAAAATCCACAACTTCACCAATGTGCTGCTAAGAACCGATTTTTTTTCATATCCAATCATTGTAACCAAATGGGCCCCTAGTGTGTAATGGACATCCTAACTATAATACAAACATGATGAAAGCTTTGTTCAAGTTTAATACAAATATTCAAAGTATAATATCTTGTTAGAGTTATGGACTTACCTTGACAACAACATCCCCAGTCAAAGTTGGCACTTGGACTGTTCCTCCCAAAATAGCCTGCAAGAAAATACTGGTTGGCTAAAGCAATCTAGGTTCCAAAATACAGGCATATCAAGGCAATTTAATGAAGCAAAATATCAAATGCTAAGATAAATGAAGTATATAATCCTGTGTGCGAATAAAGACCAAAACAAAACAAAAAAAACCAATACCTGGGTCAAATTCAGAACAGCATTGACATGGATATCAGCTTTTTCTCTCCGGAACACAGGATCTTCCCTAACCTGAAATGCATCAGGGATAAACTTGTATTTCAGATATAAATTGATGTGCCAGAAAATGAGAATGTGCAGATAGGAGTGGTGTTATAAGTAGCAACATTGATGATAGAATAATAGAAGCTAAACCTTGATAGTGACGTAAAGATCACCAGGTGCATTGCCTTCAGGATCATCTCCACCGCTTCTATATACTCTCATTACTTGGTCATTGTCAACTCCTGTAGAAGAGTAATAATGAAGTCAAATACAGAGTATTATATAAACATAAGCGTAAGATAGCCAGTATAACAAACATTAAGAGATGAAGCCAGCATCATTCCCTGCTTTCACATTCTGTCAATGGCTTTAACTATGAAAGTACGAATGTGCAATAACTCATTGGTGTTTGGGGAACCTATAGCCTTATAGTTCCATACTAGTTATTTGGCCATGTCAAGGAACTAACTTAGGTTTATGGTAAAAAGAGCTCCAGATCAGCTCGAGTAAATAAAAACCTAATTCACAAAAAGTTTCCAAGAAAGCTTTTTGGAATAACCGATGAATATTTAAGGGACATGACAAATGTGTCATCTCCCAATAAAAGAGTCATTTTGACAAAGTTTTAGTTTGGAAAAATGAACTAAAACAAAATGACACATTAAACTTCCCTTGCTCCTTACTTTCTACAAAGCTTTGGACAATATATACATCAAGAGTATCAGAAAGATCCTCTTTGGTTTTTACAGGGGTAAGAGTGCATACACCTTCACCCCAAGACCCCAACAGATATGGGATTATATTGTGTTGTTGTTGAAGGAATCTGTTGACTATAAAAAGTATGAATTGGTCAATGCATGCTATTTAAACAGCAATTTGATTAATAAAGCCTATAGCTTTAAACTGCTTGGATGTTGAAAGTAAAGAGAACACTAAAAAGATCTCATTGCAAGTTCAATCACAAGTTACCTGGCATAACATCCAACTTCACAGTCTTCTGCCCTCTCACTACTCGTTCTCCCTTGCAAGTCTTGCAGAAACTCTGCTCACCAGAGGAAAAGGTCAGTATGAGTCAATGTCACAAAAAGCATGATGTTCAGTGTTTCCTTAAACATACAACATGCAAACAGCCATTGAAAAGGGTAGTACACACCAGTACTTCAATCACCAACCAGGGAGATTTAGAATCATCCCATTTCATCAAGAAAACAAGAAATTTGAGCATTTCAGCAATTTCAAGTGAAAGACTATTTAGCTTTTACAAATTGTGCTCTATTTTGTATCAAAATTATCTTTGATTTCTAACAGTAGTCTTGTAATGTATCTTGCACTTAAACGAGGAGGAGGGGGGGGGATAAAGGCAACTGATCAATTGGGTTTTTTTAAAATGAATTTAACACCCCAATAGAATCAGGACGGAGTAAAAATTTTCAAGATTAGATTTAACAAAAAAAAATTGTGAATCCTCTTGTGTTTTTTTGTAAATCCTCTTTAAGTAGTTATATGGAAATTCTGTGCATATCATACCGATACAATCTTTCCTTCTCCTTTACATTGAGGGCAGGTACTCTGTAGTGTGAAGAAACCATTTTTCTGAATCACCTAGAAATAGAACAAGATGATTATGTTACTCTTAGTCTCTTAGAGTCAAATACCACTTTTATAATAATTACAGAGTATATGATGTACAAGAGACTTACCATGCCAGAACCTCTGCAGAATTTACAAGTTTCAGGCCTAGTCCCCGGTGGGACACCACTTCCACCTATAAATGAAAATTAGAAACGTGAACATATCGAGTGCTGGCCTTTCCATACAAACGGCCCCACTAAAAATATTATTATCTTCATCTGTCAAAGATAAATGAGGCTTGTAAACATGAGCTAATATTGTATACTACATATATTTCTTCTGCACTCAATCAGGCTACTGTCACTTGGTAAAGTTTCACTGAGACAAATGTTTCACTTTTGTGATAATTGATAATGACAAAAACAATCCTGTATGTAGACAATGGAAACTACCCTTGGAGTTATTAGAGATAAGTACAAAAAATGGAATATGTAATTTATATTGACTTAAGACAAGCATATTGGATAATAAGGGCAAAAGAACTCTGAGTTACATTTAACAGAAAAAAATCATATACTGGTTAAATGAAGAAATAATTGCATACCACAAGCACCACAAGCTATTTCAGTTTGGTATGATAGAGACTTGGTGCAACCCTGAACAGCTTCCATAAAGGATAACTCAACAGAAATCTACAAAAAGGATTGTGGACACATATATCAGCAATAACTAAAGGCATTAAAAATTAGTAGTTGTGAATTGTGTAATTCAAGAATTGCCAGTCTTTGTTGTTAGAGAAAAATAATAATACCTTGACATCTTCGCCACACATCCTCTGGTTCATGAAGCTGAAAATCTGAAATGCATGATTCAATTTCCAACACACGGATGATAAATGTAAAGTTAGTTTCAATGTGGATTATTACGCAAAAAGAAAGCAGTAAGACTTGATTAGGTGCTCTACAACTAGCAAGTTCATCAAATATGGGTCAAACCCTGAAGTGCAATAGATGCATGTACTCCCTATTGGTTTTGATAGGTATTAGTGTAATGTTTTGTACACATCACCAATGTAAGAATGCAACACATTGACAAATAGAATTCTCACAGCCTGAGACCATAAATGAACTCCATACAATATCCTAGCATTCATTCCAAGGTTACATTTAAAATTAAACACTATTCAATAACATCACAAGATTTATAAAAAAAATCCTAAAGCACACGCCTTAATCATATAAGATATGTTGTCTCGTCTATATTTTCACTTGCCCTTTGCATAGTGCATACCATGATAAATTGCCATTATTTAAACCAAGAATTATGTTTTGCAAATAACTGATGTACATCAAGCTGTAAAAGTTAAAAGAAAAATGGAAAACAAATCATTACATCGGAATTTCTAAAGAGATCCTCAAAGCCAGGGAAGCCACTAAAACCAGTCCGTGCTCCAGCACCACCATTCTCATTCATGCTATTGTAAGCATCATGTCCAAGCTGTAACATACACATGTCAATATGTAACTGCCATACTTCTATGAGTAAAGTCAGTAAGCAAATTACAAAGGAAAAATTTGAAGTTCTAGCTCTTCCTGTCATGCGTTGAATCTATTTTTATTATTAAATAGGAGAATGCGGGGAGACATGTGTGACGTATACATAATCTCACAATCATTTCAGAAATGGATAGCTATGCATCTTAAATAAGCAGAAAACAAGAAAATATATTCATTGTGTTCTCCAACGAGAGAGGGGGGGGGCATTAATTATTCGAATATGTAAGCAATCATTTTCCGGACTGTACCCCTTCTGAAAGAAAAGAAGGGAGCTTGACATTGCTCAAATACTCTGATTGGAAAATTCAAATGACAGTTGTATGAAATATGAATATGCTGTAGCTCCAACTTATGATGAACTGAAAGAAAATAAAATTCAAAAGTAGTTATATAGTAGAACAAAAAGGCAATAATATGTGTGGCAATTATCCCCTGAATGTGGATGAACTAGGTACTTTGAATGCATCAAAGTATGATATTATTCAGGCAACTATGATTTTTAACATGAATTTATTAGTTCCAAAAAACTAAAATAAGAATGTAGCACAACTTTATCCCAAAAAAAGTGTAATATTTGTGATACTGGTTTCGTTTTTAGAAACCATATACACAGGATTCTTTTTGGGGAGTGAATGTAGTATTTACGAACACTTCCTTTCAAATAGTGTTAGGGTGACTACTATCTCTAAAAATATTCTCAACAAACAGAGTGAGGCATATAGAAACAAAGCATAATATATGCAGACCTTGTCATATGTCTGGCGTTGTTCGTCATCTTTCAGAACCTGTCATTAGAGAGAAAAACATATTTACAATCCATTGACCTCACATAAAAAAATTGAGTTGCATGAGATTAGTCTATAGAGGAAGTACCTCATAAGCCTTTTGAACTTCTTGAAACTTTGTTGCAGCACCTGGATCATTTTTATTCACATCTGGATGTAACTGTTTTGCAAGCTATTTGCATAATCCATCAATAGGAAACTTGTAAGTTCATGGCTTTGATAACCTTTAGTAAAACTCCTGCTCGGATTCTAGTATCCTACTCCACATTTAATATAGGATGATATGACTAGAGACATACCCCAAGATAAGCTTTCTTGATTTCAGATCCAGTTGCATTCTTACTTATGCCAAGTACCTCATAATAATCTCGGGCTGACATGCTTGCTAATTTGAAATAAAAGTTATAAAAAAAAAGGTAAATGAAACTAAGCTTGAAAGGAAAGAATATATTTTAGGGCTCATCAAATCCATGCTGGACAAATAAATAAATCTTAAAAGGGGAAAACAATAACACTCCGTAGTACTCTATCCAAATGAAAATCCATGGGAATGCAGTCAGAAAGATGTACAAGAACCTATCTGTATCCCCTCTATTGAAAATAACAAAACTAGCTTTTCCTCGTGAGCTGTCCTTTCATTTAGTAATTTGGAGCAAGAAAGTCTGTATTTTTACCAAAGTCTACCTATGAAACCATACCAACAGGTATCAAGAGTTCATTTTTTCTACACCTAATGTACAACAATTCCTGCCAATGAAGAAAACCATATCCTCAGTTCATCATTGTGGACTGCATATTAAGATCCAAAATATAAGAGCAACACGTTACATGTCTGTTTCTTAAGCTCGCATTGAATCCCAAATTTTCATATTCTGCATTCACAAAGTTATGCAATCAAACAAACAAGTATTCAAGCTGCTTATGAAGAAACCTGTTCCATGGATGCTTCTAGTGGCAACAAAATTAGCTTTTGGCAATCCAGTTCTCAGCCTGCCCCTTTCATTAGCTCCTGTCAGGAGTAGAACAAAATTATACAGTGTGCTTCCAAAACTTTACTTCTAAAAAAATAATTTTTTTACAGGCGACTTCCACGCACCATTCCAAAAATTCGAATTGGAGAAGAATCTCCGTTGATCGCATATCGACGCAGTGAATTGTCTGCATCCCCAGATGCGACCCGGATCACATACCTAGAAATCAACACATCCCGATTGGCCGTATTAGTCCGCAATTGCAGCTACATGCATGAAATAGACAGAGAGATGAAGGCGTACAATAGAAGTGTCGCGGAGAAGGTGAGAAGAGATGGAAGCGCGAGCGAGGCGGCAGGCGAGGCGTGTGGCGTTGGAGCGAACCATTACCGGAGTCTTGTCTTGTTCGAAAAGGTATTGAGATGGAGAGAGCGAGCGAGCTTCAACTGGAACCAGAAAAGAGTGATTCAGCTAGAAGCAGAGCGGCGGCGGCGGCTGCTAGTCGGAAGAAGGTTCTAGTGACTAGTGAGTTTGAGCCTTCCCGGGAAACGGGACCAAATAAGGGCGTCTTTGGTGTGAGTGAATCCATACTCCTCCCAGTCTCCCACCCATGAAAAAAGGGAGTGCGCCCGCATGGGTAGCTCAGTTGGTCAAGAGCGTGAAATCTTGCTGGCTACTGGTCCCTAGCTCAGGGCGTTCGCCGTCACACCCTCGATAGGTTTTTAGGGTATTTCCCACTCCTCCGAGGAACACGCGCCACCCGTGCCCAGATCGCAAGAACCGGCTGACTCAGTGGTACTAAATGTAGGAGGTGGTAAGGACAGCCGCAAGGGGGTGGGGGCGCCTGGGGTGGGCGATTCCACCTTTTTTGAACCGATGAAAAAAGGGAGTGCTTCTTTAACTGGAAGAAGATTAAAAAAGTACAATTATTTAGTTGCAACTTGCAAGTAATTTAGAAAATAGAGAAATTATAAGAACCACAAAATTATTTCTAAAAATAAAAAAATTTGGAGTAAAATATATTTTAGACAGAGAAAAATATTAACTTTTTAAAAAATTGAGTGTAGGTTGGAGTATACGAGTTTGAGTGTTGGTGGTGGTGTTTGGCCGTCATGCCGTAAACAAGTAAGAATGAAAAAGGTATGGAGAATGAACGTCCTAAGACCGAACTCAACATCATCACACCTCGAGCTTGGCCTAGTACTCGAGCTTGACTAGTGTGGGCTCAATCATATCACTCACGAGATTGGGTATAGAAGTACTAGTTACTTATTAGGATTAGATATTTATATCATTATATGACTATATGAGTAGTGTGTGTTAGGCTTCCACTCAACATCGCACTCTAATTTGGACTACGACATGTTTTACTTTGTAATTTGTATTTATGGTGAGTTTTGGGGCCACTCAATTTGAGATTTTCTAATAATAGGGGCTATATTTGAGATTTTATATAACTACCAAATTCGAGATTATGTCAATGGTTAATTATTACCACTAAATAATATTTTCTATTATAAACTTTTTGTTAATATTAAAGTGTATAGAATATTACTATAAAAATTAATACTTCCTCCGTCCCGATTTATATTGCCCATTTTGACTTTGGGGCATATTTAATGGATGGAAAAAATGACATTGACCTTCCAAGAATGCCCTTGCACTATTAAAATGAAATGGGTGAATCTGCACCTCCTCACCCTATCCGGGCTATCCCATACGCACAAGAAACATGAATCACACAAACAATAAAGAATGGATGAAATGAAATCAAACACCAAACAGTCCAAATTATATCGCACCAATATTTTTTAAGAGAAATTTCCTCTTCTTTACACAAACAATTGTGTAAAAAAATACACCCAACACTGAAATTAAAACATGGAAGGAAAAGAGAAAGGCAGTAGCTTCTTTAATAGTTCAACATTGAAGATCCAAAATTTCATCATGGAGCTCTTCAAGATTCAAGATGAACACAAGATCTAAAATTTTATCATATACCTCTTCAAGATCTGAAAAAGAAAGATTGACAGAAACCACAAATTAACATATGAAAATAGGAAAAATATTTGTAGGGAAACTATACAAACTTACCTTACTGCGAAAGTCGTAGATCCGAAAAGCAAAAAAGGCAGATCTGAAAGGTTCAAAAATCCTAGATCTTAAAAGCTAAAACACATTCAAAGACAAAACCATAGATCTGTTATAAAAGGTGTTATTGGTTAAAAAGAAGGAATAGATTCAAAGAGAAAAATCTACAAAAGAGAAGGAGAAAGAGAATGATGAAGAAGAGAAAAAATTTTGAATAAAGAGAAATAATTGGAAGAACACACCTGGCTTCAAAGAAGAAGAAATTTACGAAAGAAACTCAAGGAGAAAAAGAAGTCACGGAAGATGAAGTGAGAGAGAGAAATGTGTGGACGAAAAATACGAGTAGAAGTAGAAAGGGTAGGAATAGAGATGGGCGAGAGTGGAAAATGAGGGGCTGAAGGGTTGTAGGAGTGAGATATATTAGGGGTATTTTAGGTAATCTATTTTTAAAAACTTACCATAATAGGAAACAGGCAATATAAATTGGGACGGACGAAAAAGGAAAACAGGCAATTTAAAATGGAACGGATGGAGTAATATATTCCCGTTCATAAATTATATTTCCACTTTTCCTTTTTGTATGTCCACAAATTTTGTTTTCTTTTTCTGATTTGATAACTGATTTAAGTTAAATGTCTTATTTACCCCTACATGTAATTTTTTTTGACTCCTCTCCATTTAATCCCATCTAGTCTAACCATGAGTCATACATTCACTTTCGTCTTCTTCCTCTTTAAGATGAGCCTCCATCTTTGTCCTCTTCCAATTCAACTTGCACGTCATCCTCTATCCTTTTTCTTATTGAGTGTAAAACAAGAAAGCTAGGTGGAAGCTAACAGAAAATTAGCAAGAAACCAGCTGAAAGCTACCTTGTGTGTTAGCTTAATAGGAAACCACCTGGAACACAAGGTGAACACAAGAATGAAATATGGTGAATTGGTAAACACAAGAATGAAAAATGGAATTTCAATTATCGAGCACATCAACAAGTTGAATTTGATTTTAGCCAGACTTTTTAAGTGGACATTAAGTTTAAAGATGAAGTTTGAGCTTTACTACTGATATCGTCATTGCCTGACAATTGGTCAGGAACTGTTACAGTAGTTACTAGTACAACAGGACCTAACGGGTTTACTTTTGAGAAGATTTGTGATCTCGTTCTTGGTGAAGATGTCATAAGAAGGAGTTCTGCAAACACTAACAGAGGTAGTGGGAGCAGAAGATGGAGTCAGTCAAAGATTCAAGATAGCTCATGCGTAACATGCTGGAAGTACAAGGAGGTGGGACATTTTAGGAATTAGTGCTTGAAAGAGGATAAGCAAGTGAACATTGCTAAAGACTCCGCGAGTGACGAGGATTTGTTTATCTGTTGTGCAGAGAGCAGTGTGGATTCCTATGTCATGGATTCTGGTACTTCATTTCATGCTACTCACAGCGGTGAAGCATGGCAAAATCTAGTTATTAGGGACTTTGGAAAAGCAAGACTAGCGGACGACAGAGCTCTTGATGTGACGGGCATGGGTGACATGGTGTTGCAGACCCCAGCCGGTTTCTGGACTTTGAAGGATGTCAGGCAGTGGTGAAGTTCAGAAACAGAGAGTTGAATGTCTTGAAGGAAAACCGTGTCTTGGCCTGCGGAAGGAATAGAGGTTCGTTGTATATGGTCAAGTTACCGCCTGAGGGAGTGATCATCTCGGGTCAGAAGATAAACAAAGTCTGGTTGATAGAGTCTCGTGGGCAGAAGAAGATTGTCTTTGCAAGAGAGAAACCTAAAGCCACAGATCAGACTCAAGATGAATGAGAATAGAAAGGTTCAAGAAGGCCAGTCAGCGGTATCTGCGGCAGTGGGAGCATAGGTGGTGCTTCAGCCAAGATTCTTAGAAGATAATGGGTTAGGAGAACTAGCATTCCAGCTGTTGAAACGTCTTCAGAAATTTTTTTGATGAGTATGGAGAGTGTTTGTTCTAAAAATGTTTCACGATCCGGCAGTGTGCGTCTACAACGAGAGCCAATAGGGAGCGAGGACGAGTCGGGGGCAGATTTAGCCATGACTGGTGTGTCGAAACTCAAGGGAGTTTCAACGAAGTCTTCTAGATGATCAAAATGGCTGGTGGCAACTATATGTGGTGGAATAATCAGTTTCGTTGATATATTACAAAAGTACATGTGCACAATTAAAGCGCAGGTGAGCATTGTTTCGTGGCTTCAAGTAGGAGATTATTGAGTGTGAAGTCATGAAGCTAGGTGGAAACTAACAGGAAATTGGCAAGAAACCACATGGAAGCTACCTTGTACTTTAGCTTAATAATTATCTCCTTAATCATGTCTATTTAAGAGATCATTGTGTTTGTAATCTTGGTGTGCAACAAATGAAATAAAATCCTTTTAGTTGACCCGTGTAAATGTAGGTTGTAGGTGGCGACCAAACCACGCTAAATTTTTGTGTCATTTATTTTTCTGCAGTTGATTCGTGATTGTATGTGTTGTTTCCGCATGCGTTTATCTGAACATGTCTCCATTTTTACTCTTCCAGCCTCGTCCCTCCATTCCCACCCCTGTGCCGCAAGCATTGCCTTTGGTTATCAAACCCTTAGACATGCCACTCGCCAGCCCTTTAATCTCGTCCAATAGTGTGTATATTTCGAACTTTGTCTATAATTATATACTCCCTTTCAAATGCGTATGTAGTTATTTGTGGGAGTATTTGCGATCTTCTTGCATACAAAAGAGAGGCGTATGATTGAAAGATATTTTTTGGAAAATCAATTCCATTTTTAAGTTGCATAAATATGTGTGCCTGGCCAAACCAGGATAAAAAGATAGATAGAGAATTTATATTAAAATATCAAGTTCTATGTGGTGTTAGTATTTTGGATAACATTTTAATCGTGAGATTATCTTTAAAAATGTTGCAACTAAAATGTTATCGTTAGAAAATCTTTTCAAAAGACTAAGGTTAAGCGTTGAAGTTGTTCCAAACATTTGTATTTGTTTATAAACCTCACATTTTATAATCATAATATATCAAGAGATTAATTTTTATTGATAAAGTTTTTTCTTTTTAAATCAATAGGATTTTTGCACATTAAAAAAGAACAAATGATGTGATAATTGCCACCCACATCTACCCACTTGCTAGGGATACACCTTTGTGTACTCCATTTGTACACGACACCCTCTTCTCCACCACCCATTTTAAATTAAGGATCATGCTACACACCCCTCACCCTTGCTACTAACCTTGCCTCCACCCACTTTTCTACCACATATTTATCTTTACCTATTCTCCACTCACCCTCTAATTTTAATTTTCTTGCCTCCCTACCACATGTTTATGTAGGGGGCATGAATGATAGCAAGAGTGGGGGGTTTTTAGCATTTTCCTTAAATTAATTTTTATTTTTATTTTTTTTTTATTTTCTTGCCCAATTATGTGGACAAGGAGGGGTGAGAGACAAATGTGGTACACCAAAGGTGTACCTCTAGCATTTTTCATTCTCCATTAAAGAGTGCATTCTTATAACGTTACATCTAAAATAGTCTAAAGCCAAAAAAGAAAAAAAATGTGAAAAATAAACGAGAAATGGCATGTGATTTCCCATCAAAGTCCAGCTCCCCCAACGGTCAAAAGAAATGCGTTCAATGATAAACCAACGGTCATCTACTTCCCTCTCCGCCAGCTATCGTCTCCCTCCCCAAAACTCCCAGATCATTTCATCATTCTCCGGTTAAATTTCCGACCAACCGCTGCAATCTCTCCGGCGGACCATCAACATTCTTCAATCTAATCCACCCTTCTCTTCTTTTCTTGGAATGGAAATAGCCGTAATCGATTGGAAGAGCTTGGATTCAAGATTTGTAAAGGACGACACCCTCGAGCAGTTCAACGCCCCGCAGTGGGTGGACTTCTCCGCCCCCGATGACTCCATTGACGACGAAGCTTGGTTCTGCCGGCCAGGTAACCCGCCCCGCTTTTCCCGGCTCATCTTTTCTTGTCTACTAAAACAAGAACGCCTGACTGAACTGACCCCTGTTTCTTTTTTATCACCAGATTGCAATCATCCCAAGACTGTGGATGATTTCTATAGAGCCGGTGTAACCCCGCCTTCAAAGGTTTCTATTTTCTTGAATTTAATTTAATTTGAAGATCTGATCTTTTTTTATTTTGTCTTCAGATCAAAATCTAATCTCTTGCAAGACTGATTTTTTTTTCTGTTATGTTTTTTTCTTTCGAAACCCTAACAATGAAGAAGCTTCAGAGGTCAGCCACTGTTTCTGAGAATCATCTGATTCGGGAGCGAATTCGAAGGTTTAAAAAATTCAATTTTTTTTATTCCATTAGAATTTCAAGTGTGAAAATATGCTAAAATCGATTTTTAAAAACAGGGGGAAAGCTTTCCAGGGGACTGGTTTGATGAAAGATGGGATCTTTGAAGAGGACAGTGAGAATCAAAACCCCAATTTGAAGACTCCGCCAAGAAACAAAGCTAAGCTGATGAAGGAGGCATTCAAGTCAAGCTCGGAGAAGAAGAAGATGGGCGTCATGGAGAAAGAACCCACGACTCAGAAGCTGAGAAGCACCCAGTCAGCAAGAAATCTGTTCTCCGGCGGGGATTTTCTGAACCGGGTAACCGAGTTCTGTAACGAGCTGAAGAAATTCGCGGTAAGGGGTTCGGAGAGAGAGAGAGCCGGGGACAAGAATGTGGAAAAGACTCCATTAATGGAGGAGAAGAAGAAGGATGAAAATACTTTAATGGGGAAGAAGAACATCCCCAAAGAGAAGCCCAGAAAGAATCAGATGTAAGTTCTCTTCATTTCATTCACTGCAATTTTACTTTCTACTGTAATGTGATCTTTGACAACTAATGCATACATACATAATAAATGCACAGAAGAAGTGAAAATGCAGAAAACACACCAATGAGAATAGACGTGATGAAGAACAGTAGTAAGCGGACAGGGGAGGAGATCCTGTCACAGATCAGGACCAACCCTCCGACTCCGCAGTGTTTCTCGGAGAGCCGCCGCGGCGGACCCACCAAAGCTACACCGTCGTCCGGGGCTCTCAGCTCCCGGACCCCTCCCCATCCTTATCGAGACAGAGGAGTTCTTAGAGAGCTGGGGAAGAAGGGCGTGGGGAACAGGGAGGATAAAGGGGACAAATCTGGAAACAGAGCTAACCATGGCGGCGGCGGCGGCGGAGGTAGTGCGGTGAATGACTCTTTGCCGGGATTAGATGTGTTCTGGTTCTTAAAGCCTTGCGCGCTTTCTTCAACATGAACAACACCATATAAAACACAGCATTTCAATTTCAATTATTAGTTGACAACAAATAATGTATTGTAATTTGTATGATGTGGTATTGATTTTGTTCATTCTTTTTATTCTCTTGATTTTGTTTGTGTTGATGAAACAAAATGTCAGTTTTTGCCATCACTTTTATGTATCCGTGTGAGTGTTTATGCGGCCGGAATTGTGTGCCAGCTAAAAAAAATCTTTTAACATTATAAATTTCATTGAAAAAAAGAATTAACAGAACAACTTGGCTTAAAATATCGTTGTTAATATAAAGATTGTATTAGTCATTTTATTTAACTAACATTGCTCAGTATCATCGAGTTGGAAACTTTAAAGAAGAGTGATTAAATTTTTTCCGTCATCACCGCATTATTTACGTATGAATCTCATAAATCAAACCTACAAGTCATCTTAATAATGTGAAGTGCCCTCAATAGATCACATTTTTTTCTTGGATACAAATTATATATTAAAGCACTATACCATTTAAAGCTAAAAATAAAGATAATTATATCATATTTTATTAAAGATAATCTCAATATCCAAGTGTTGCACTAATTTCACTAATGTGGTAGAATATTGTGAAGTTGGAAAATGTAAGGCAATACGAGTAATGGTATTAGAAATACATCAAATGATGATGATGATGATGATGATGATGATGATGATGATGATGATGATGATGATGATGATAATAATAATAATAATAAGTGTTTGGTGATTCCCAAATGGATACTCCGTATTTTGTGCATCTTCCAATATTACAAGCATCCCGCTAAGTATTGAGTGTTTTTGTAAATGTTTTGATTTTTTTAAATTTTAGTTGATATCAATTTTAAAAATTTGATATCTATCTTAATTGCAAGACACTATATCTAGGTCATATATTGCCCTGACCCGGGACTGCTCGAGAAAGGCAATCCTATCGGATTGGGCTTAATTTTTAAGGAACCTAATAATTTTAAAGAAATAGTATATTGTATTGTTATTAAATCAGCCTAGGCCCAAATGTTTTCTGGGCTGCGCCTCATCTGGACTAGCTGCAATTTTCTGTAGGTTTTTACCGTTTCCCGCTTCAGCGCTGCACCAAATCCGGCAATCCCCGTCGTTCTTCATCTAGTCAGACGACCAGGAGCACGGAAAATCCATCGCCTCTTTGTTCCAATTTTCTTGCGGAGTTTCAGCTCTGTATCTTTCTATATTCGATCAATTAAGTCATTTTTATTTAAATAGAGAAGTTATTGAATTACTGAATGATGTGAATCCGGTTGTCATGTTGTTCGTTGAAGCAATGAAGCTTGAGTTTACAAATTATGTTTCTAACTTTCCACTTGTGTGAGTTTACAAATTATGTTTCTAAGTATTGAGATTTGATTAATTGATTCCTCGATTAATGAGTTTGATTTCTTGTTCAGCTTTAGAGCTGGGAGCATAGATAAATTTTGCTGTTAATTTTAGTTCATGATTTTTCTGTAAGCTGCTAGTTTTTTGAGCTACTAATTAAAAATTTCTAATTTGTTTTTTTGAGATGCTTTTTTAATTTGAGTTAAACACAGATAAATTTTGTGTTTCTAAATCAATGACAATAGTATTTTTTTTCATTAAAGGAACAATACGGAGCAATTTTTTTCATTTTAATTTAAAAACACTGAATAATATTGAGATTAAATAAAACGAATTTTAAGGGGCCCTTAACTAGAGGTGACAATCGGATCAACCGGATCGGTTTCGGGTTGGATTTTTTCGATCGGATATCTTTCAGTTATATGTTATAATCGGTTCGGTTCGGTTCGGATCGGTTAAATTTCGGTTCGGATTTGATTTTGGTTCTATACATTTTTCGGTTCGGTTCGGTTTTGTGTCGGTTCAGATACGGTTCGGTTATAAATCGGTTCGAATAGATTTCGGTTCGGATACAATTTGAGTCGGATATATTTCGGTTTTGGGTCTAGTTCGGTTCGGATATATTTCGGTTTCGGATATATTCGATCGAGTGGACTACAAATTATGAAAAAATATATTTTATGATGATATAAATTTAATATCATAATATTAATTTTAAAATTTAGTTTTGATATATTAAAATTTTATCACATCAAATAATATAATGAGTAATTTACCTAAATAGGACTAAAACATAATGACTTTCCCAATATATAACCATATGTTTTTATTTTCCCAATGTAGGACCTTTGGTCATTACTAATTAGTCATTATTCAAGTAAATGTCTATCATTACTGTGCATTATTCCTCCCACTAAGACATTATTAAGTTTTATTTAGGGAATAAAAAAATTTAAGTCCTATATTAAGAAAGTCATTATGTTTTAGTCTTATTTAGTGCAAATTTTACTAATATCATTAATTAGTTTTACTTTATAAATAAAAAGATAAAAGATAAATTTAAATCGTATTAAGATTGTGTTACCACTTTTTGGGGAAGATGAGTCGAAGCAACTAGTTTTTATCTCACGCTTCGCACTGACTCACATACTTTTTTTATAAGTATAGCTATAAAAATGTTACTCCGTATTATATTGAATAATAAAACTCACATTAAATAAATAAGAGAATAACTCTTTAAGTAATCTAATCACAATGTCTATTATTGATGGAATACATAAATATTATACATGTATGTGCATATGAAAAATAATACATTAACTCTTCTTAAATAACTTTATTTGACATTTCATTTTTGGAGATATCGTGGTATGCGAGGGAATGATGTATTCATTAATTTCATCTATGAATCTTATTATTTTACACTTTATTTGACTAATTAAATTTATAATTTTGATAGAAAATATATTTTTAGTTTTTAAGGAAAAGTTTTAATTTTTTGTTTTATTTTACCATCTTTGTGAATTAAAATTTAATTGTATTTATTATAATTTTTTTAATAATAATATTACATGCATTACAAGTTTTTTTTAGAAATTTGGATATGATAACTTATTGTAGCTAAACTATTATTAGATATGATATTTTTAAAAAAAAAATTGTATTCCGGACGGAGAAAGTAAAAAAATAAGAAGTATAAGAATATAAAATGAATTTAAAGAACTTACAATTAATACTCCGTACTAATTTTTTAAACATAGTATCCAATCAAAAACTTTTTTTAGATCTAAACTCTCCCCTAAAACTCAAATTTCCACCCCATTTTTTTCACTTTCCCTCCAATCACTTTTTTTTCCTATTAAAAAATAATTTTTCTTAACCCACCCATCTACCACAAGTCCACAACCCATTTCCCAATTTCAGTTCTAATCTTCCTTTTAACTGATGCACTGTGAACTCCACTTCTTCAACGGCGACGATCGGCCCATGGTTAGTTCATTCTAAAGGCTACCAACAATTCTCCCATCTATGGACGTTTGCATCATATTTCCACTTTTGGATCATGACTATTGAATACTATATTTTTTAATTATCACTAGATGACTACTTTTTGGTGTTTAGCAAGATTCTCATCTCTATTTTATTACTGGTTTGCTTTATTTTATCACATGCATGCTTAGATTTGGGAAAAGTAATTTTCATGTGCTTTATGTCATCTCTATTTTATTGCTCATTTGTAATATTTCTAAAACATGGTAATCTATTTTATGAGGGAATGAACGAGTAATATAATTAGTTTAAATGATAAAATAAAAGTAAAAATTTAAAAATATAATATGCTTATTGAAAGGAAAACATAGTTCCAAATTTATCGATGTAGGTTCTAATCGGTTTCGGATCTAATCGGTTTCGGATCTAATCGGTTTCGGGTTTTATCGGTTTCGGATCTAATCGGTTTTGGTTTTAATCGGTTCGGATATTATCGGTTTTGGATCTAATCGGTTTCGGATTTAAATCGGATATGAATTATTTAGTTCGGTTTCGGTTCGATTTAGATCATTTCAGGTTTTTGGTTATAGATCGGATCTTCATTTTTCGGGTCATTTCGGTTTCGGTTTCGGATATTTCGGTTCGGGTAATCGGTTCCGATTCTCTTTTGCCAGGTCTACCCTTAACCCTCCCTATCTATCATGGAGTCATTAACTTTGAGGTTGTTTGGCAATGTGTTGCTTTTAATAATTTAGCTTCTGTTTTGAGTATAAGTGATTTTACTCTGTTTGGCATGTCAACTTCTGCTTTTCACAACCACTATTTTGTACATAGAACACCGTTTCGGAGAAGCAGGTATGAGGTACTTTTGCTTTTAGCTTTTGTGAAAATCACTTTATCCATAAGTTAATCACTCCAAACACCCTCTTTCTCATTTTTTAATTATCTAATTCTTGTTTCTCATATTTTTTTATGTATGGAAATGAATAACGAGCTCAGGGCCGATATTAGAGGTAGGGCTGGACACGGTACCGGTTCGGTACCGTCACCGGAAACGGTACCGCCGGTACCAAGCATCGTAACGGCAACCGGGACGGCGAAACGGTTCTGAGAACCGGCACCGGTACCGCCACATCCGGTCTTGGTTCCGGTGCCCCAAAAGCGTTACCGGCACCGCCGGTACCGGTGCCGGTTCCGGTACCGGTTTTTTTTTTCTCCTTTTTGCTCTCCAACGGAAACCTGCAAAAAAAACAAAGTTAGTGGGGGGGCCAAAACGGCTAATTGACCATGGGGTCATGGGGAGGGGGGGAGGGGAGGGGGGATTATTTTTTTTATAAATACTCATTTTTTCTTCTAAATTCTAAAAAAATCACACTCATCAATCCATATCCATCTCTCTTACCCTCTAATCTCTATTCTCTCATTCTCTCAAATTTCAATATCTCAATCTATCATTTTAATTTCTCAATCTTAATATCTTATTATCTCTTTTATACACTTTTTTTAAATATATTATATTTTAATATAAAAAATTTCGAAATTATTTGAAATTTTCGAAATTTAATATTTCTTTAATATCAAAAAATATATAATATATATTTTAAATATATTCTCTATTTTTTTTTTTGAAATTTTCGAAATTTTTATATATAAAATTTCGAATTTTTTTTAAAGTTTCGAAATTTAATATATTATTTTTTTATATCAAAATATATATATAT